AATATTGATGCCCCATGGAGCAAAAGGCTTAAAAAGAAAGGCCCTTATTTTATTTAACTCAAAGATTTAAATAAAAAAACTAGCCAAGATGGGAAATTGTATGCATTTAAAACCAAAGAAAGCCTCTGCCCTGGCTGGGTGTATGTTCTGATTCTAAATGGTTGTGCTCCCAATAACATCAGTACAGGGACTTCACACAAGACAGAGAGGGCTGTGGGACTAGAATTAGACAGAAACAGCTCTCTGCAGGTTGTAACATGTAACACATACTCTTAGAATTGTATTTGAACTTTACCTTTGTCAGAAAGCAAATAAATATCTGTATTAAGAATACAGAACTCATTTTCTTTTGATCTTAAAAAAAACATTGTATCTCCAGGCTTTCTCCCTTTTTGAGTTCTGGAAATTCTATTTATTTTTTTTTTGAGCTTGAGTCTCACTCTTGTGGCCCAGGCTGGAGTGTTGTTCAAGTACGTTCAAGGCCACTGCAGCCTCCACCTGCTGGGCTTAGACAATCCTGCCTCAGCCTTCCAAGCAGCCAGAACTACAGACGCATGCCATCCTTTCTTTTCTTTGGGTCAAGATTGGACCAATTAGGTATAATACAAGATACAAAGAAATAAGGTTGGAATATGAATAGACTTTGATCCTTTTTTTTTTTTTATTTTTTTAAGTTGGAGTCTCTGTCACCCAGGGAGCACTTTGGGAGACTGAGGTGAGTGAAGAATTGCCTGAGCCCACGGGTTCACGACCCGCCTGGGCAACTTGGTGAGACCTCGTCTCTATAATAAATAAAAAACTAGCCGGGTGTGGTAGTATGCCTATAATTCCATCTACTTGGAAGACTGAGGCGGAAGGATCGCCAGAGCCCAGCAGGTCGAGGCTGCGGTGGCTGGGAGCGGCCACTGTACTCCAGTCTGGGCGAGAGTGAGACTCCAACTCAAAACAAAACAAAACAAAAACAAAATCAAAACAAACAAAAATTACATGAAAAAGCAAATAAAGAGATGGAAAACCCATGCCCGGCTAGTTTTGTGATTTGTTGTAAAGACAGATCTCACCAAGTTGCCCAGGCCAGTCTCAAACCCCCCCCCGGGCTCAGGCAAATTCCCAGGCTCAGGCAGTCCTCTCGCCTCGGCCTCCCAAAATGCAGGGATTACAGCCTGAGCCACCGTGCCCGGCCAGAAATTCTAATGGTTATAGTAATTATCTTGAAGTGCAGCAGCATTTGGAATAAATCTGTGGGATTTTCTTTCATGATCAGAAATGGGGAATGTGCTGAAAGCCAAATAAAAATATGTGGATGGAGGGTATCCTGCCAGACCTGTCTCTACCCCTTGGCCAATGATCTTCATTTCCAGATAGGAGCTGCTTCCAGAGCAAGAATATGTTTAGTCTTATGACTCATATGGATGTGGTTGAAAGTGCAGCTGACCGGCCTGTGATGTGGCAAGGTTAAGGTTGCTATAGCTTATTTTTGCTTTTGCTAAAAATAGACTCAATCAATAATGTAAACAGCAAAGCTGACTGGAAATAAATTATATTAGCCCTTTGTACTCAGACGTTTCATGGATCATCCACCAGCAACTTGACCACACTTTTTGACGAAACAGTAAAAGCAAGTCACATCATATTGAATAGTACAGCACTGGAACCAATTATTTTATTGTATTGATATTTGGCTTATCATGGAACTGTGGACATTAAGGAACTTATTTGTGACCCAAAAAATCAAAATTTTATATTTTAATATTTTCTAACGTGATAACGTGTGAAATAGTCACCCACACGCATTGCAGGTTCATTGGTACAGGTTGTGGCAATAGTCATTTGTTGATGTCTTCCACCAGGGCTTTTTCTTTTTTCATTTTTTAAAATTTTTTGTGTTGGAGTCTCACTCTGTCACCCAAGCTGGAGGGCAGTGGCATGCTCCCGGCCACCGCAGCCTCGACCTGCTGGGTTCCGGCGATCCTTCCGCCTCAGCCTTCCAAGTAGCTAGAATTATAGGCGCACGCTACCATGCCCAGCTAATTTTTTGATTTATTGTAGAGATGAGGTCTCGCCAAGTTGCCCAGGTGGGTCTCGAACCCGCAGGCTCAGGCAATCACCACCTCAGCCTCCCAAAGTGAGGGATTACAGGCTGAGCCATCAAGCCGGCTTCACCAGGCCTTTTTCTATTCAAGCAGACAGTGCAGTTTCGTTTTCTTCCTCCCACATTAATAACACATAATTTATTGTCCAGCCTATTGTTTGAAAAAGATTTGAAAAGACTCATTCGTGATTCCTGAAAACCACTTCTCAACTGATCAATCATATCTCAGTATATATTCCATCTCTTTATTTGCTTTTTCATGTCATTTTTGTTTGTTTTTGTTTTGTTTTGTTTTGAGTTGGAGTCTCACTCTGTCGCCCGGACTAGAGTGCAGTGGCATGCTCCCGGCCACCACAGCCTCGACCTGCTGGGCTCCAGTGATCCTTCCGCCTCAGCCTTCCGAATAGCCGTAATTACAGACGCACTACCACATCTGGTTAGTTTTTTATTTATTATAGAGACGAGGTCTCACCAAGTTGCCCAGGCGGGTCGTGAACCGGTGGGTCGTGAACCTGCGGGCTCAGGCAATTCTTCACTCACCTCGGTGTCCCAAAGTGCTGGGATTACAGGCTGAGCCACCGAGCCCGGCCTGTTTTTTGTTTTGTTTTGTTTTTGAATTGGAGTCTCACTCTGTCGCCCAGACTGGAGTGCAGTGGCAGCTACCGGCCACTACAGCCTTGACCTGCAGGGCTCCTGCAATCCTGCCGCCTCAGCTTTCTGCCGGAATTACAGGCATGCACTACCACGCCCGGCTGATTTTTTATTTATTGTAGAGATGAGGTCTCACCAAGTTGCCCAGGCGGGTCTCGAACCCACGGGCTCAGGTAATCCACTTACCTCAGCCTTTCAAAGCATGGGATTAAAGTCTGAGCCACCGAGCCTGGCTCTGTTTTTGTTTTTAATCAGAGTGTCACTCTGTCACCCAGGCTGGAGGGCAGTGGCATGCTGCTCACGGCCACCGCAGCCTCTACCTGCTGGACTCAGGCGATCCTTCCACCTCAGCCTTCCAAGTAGCCAGAACTACAGGTGCGTGCTACCATGTCCAGCTAATTTTTTTTTTTTTTTGTAGAGACGAGGTCTCGCCAAGTTGCCCAGGTGGGTCTTGAACCCACGAGTTCAGGCAATCTACTCGCCTCGGCCTCCCAAAGTGCTGGGATTACAGGCTGAGCCACCAAGCCCGGCCTAGTTCATACTCTTCAACTGTACTGTTAAGTTGATTAGTCCATTGAAATTACAGGTTTAATAACTGTTTACTGATATTGAATTCAAAATGGTGCTTAGTGTTTTATTCGTATCTCCTGTCTTACTGTATCTCAGGTATCTTTCTAACTTTAAGTTGCATGGAAATAAATTGAGATTTGAATGATGGAATAAATTGAGATTTGAATGATGGGATCTAGTTGAAGGCTATCATTACAAGCTGAATAAACATGACATACTCCCTGTGTGCTATGTCTGGGAATATTCTGTGACACTAAGTGGCTTTCTCTTGAGTTATTTTTCCAGTCTTAAAAAGTATAATGTGTAACTTTAATTGGAACTCTACCCTAGATATGAGGGCGATAAATGTAGGAATCACAAAATATTTTGTTCAAAATCTGTATCATCTACTTTTCTGAAAGTCCTGAAAATATATACATGAAAAGGCATGGTCTCTGTCCTCAGTGAGCTTACAGTCCAGTAGAAGAACAGTCACACAATGCTTTGATAAGCATTGCAACAGAAGTGTGACCAGGTACCTTGGGAACAGAAGAACGATGACCTAAATTTGTATGAGAGAGGCTGGTCAGGCTTCATATTGTTTACACTGAGTCTTGAAGGAATAAGCACTTGCTAGACAACAGGACAAAGGGGCAGTCCGGGTGAAAGGAACCTCATTTTTCCATATCGTGGAACTCACTGCAGTTTGCTTCTCCTGATGGGTAAAGGATGAGGCGGAGAAAATATCCAGAGAGGAGGCTGGGCAGGTGGGGATCAGATCTAGAATAGGACTTCTGTGACATCCTGAGAACTTTGGATTTAATTTCTGAAGTGATTGGGAGTTCTGAAAGACTTTTTGAACAGGGGAGGAAAATAGGTTGATATTTTGGGATAATTACTTTGTATTATTTGGGATAATGGCAGCATCATAGAGTCTGGATTGGAAGATGAGGAAGAACCAATTAAAAAGGTGCAATGCAATAATCCAGGGAAAAGATGATGAAGACATGAATGAAGGCAGCAACAACAGGGATAAAGTGGGGTGGAGAAAGGAATTCGCAGATACTGCCATCAGGACTTGGCAGTTGGGAGGGATCGTCATTGCCATCCATGAGGATTCCACTCCAATGACTGTTTAAATTACAGAGCTTGCCTGTAAGCAGTGATCATTAGCGGAGAGCGTTGTCTATATAGAGTGACTTATTTTTCCCTGGGCACCTATGACTATGTAGTGCTCGATATTTATAATATTTTTTAAAAATTCTATAGAAGCCGGGCTGGGTGGCTCAGCCTGTAATCCCACGCCTTTGGGAGACTGAGGTGAGTGGATTGCCTGAGCCCGCGAGTTCGAGACCCGCCTGGGCAGCGAGACCTCATCTCTACAATATATCAAAAAATCAGCCAGGCGTGGTAGCACGCGCCTGTAGTTCCGGCTACTCGGAAGGCTGAGGCGGAAAGATCGCCGGAGCCCAGCAGGCGAGGCTGCGGTGACTGGGAGCGGCCATTGCACTCCGGTCTGGGCGACAGAGTGAGACTCCAACTCAAAAAAAAAAAAAAAATTCTATAGAATAGAAAAACAAATATACAATCTAATCTTGCCTGGGTTTTATTTATAAAAGAAGTTTGCAAGTCTTCTTTTTAACACTGCATCAAGATTTCCCACCTTCTCCGCAAAGCTTATGTTGCTGGGTTTTTGCTTTCCAAACAGATCCTTCGGGCCCAAAGCCGAAGTGCAGGTGGAAGCAGAACCTCTGAAAACAGCTACTCTCTGGATGACTTGGAAATAGGCCCAGGTAAGCAGAGAGGTCCATGTGTATGAAGTACTGTAGGAGGTACTCACTGGCAGTAGTGCCTTTGGACTCAAACCAATGCTTTTAAAGGAAAAATGGCACAAATGAAAAGTCTGTCTGCCAGGTATAAGCCGTTCTCAAATCTCATAGCACTCTATGAGTAGCTTTTCTTATCTATTTTTTCTTTTTTAATAGAGATGAGGCCTTGCTATGTTGCCTAGTCTGGTCTCAAACTCCTAGGCTCAAGCAGTCCTCTCACCTCGGCCTCCCAAAGTGCTGGGATTATAGGTGTGAGCCACCATTCCCAGCCAGCTTTTCTTGTGTTTTTAATTCATCCCTTTCAGTGGTAATCTGTGGTTATCCAAGGGTACTTTTGAGGAGTTGCAAGGGAAGAGCTATGGTCACCTTTGACTCCACAGTTATCTGGAGTTTGAGGGCTTCGATAGATGGGCTGTGTTTCCTGTTGATACTGGCTATCCTATATTGCCAGTGATAATATAATACTTTGAGGCCAGGTGCAGTGGTTCATGCCTGTAATCCCAATACATTGGAAGGCTGAGGCGAGCGGATTCCCTGAGCCTGAGGGTTCGAGACCAGCCTGGACAACTTGGTGAGACCTTGTCTCTACAACAAATTAAAAATTAACTGGGTGTGGTTGTGCATGCCTGTGGTTCCAGCTACTTGGAAGGCTGAGGTGAAATGATCACCAGAGCCCAGCAAGTTGAGACTGTGGTGGCCATGAGTGTGCCACTGCACTCCAGCCTGGGAGACAGAGTGAGACCCCAACTCAGAAAAAAAAAATACTGGCTGGGCTTGGTGGCTCAGCCTGTAATCCCAGCGCTTTGGGAGGCTGAGGTGAGTGTATTGCCTGAGCCCGCGGGTTCGAGACCCGCCTGGGCAACTTGGCAAGACCTCATCTCTATAATAAACCAAAAAAGCTAGCTGTATGTGGTGGTGCACACCTGTAATTCCGGCTACCTGGAAGGCTAAGGCGGAAGGATTGCCTGAGCCCAGCAGGTCAAGGCTGCTGTAGCTGGGAGAGGCCACTGATCTCCAGTCTGGGCGACAGAGTGAGACTCCAACTCAAAAAAAAAAAAACCCCAAAAAAGAAACCAAAAAAATACTTTGAGAGTGAAATTACTGTGTTTTGAAGGGAGTATATACAGGTTTCACAAAATAAAAAAATAGTAAACACAGAAAAATCATCAGCCTCCTAGTAATCAAAGAAATAAAAATTAAACAGTATTGAGATCTCTTTTTTTCACAAATTAGCCAAAATTTAAAATATGCAGTGTTCAATTATGGTAAGGGTTCTCTTTTTTTTTTTTTTTTTTTT